GCGCGGCCAGTTAATTCTAGAAAACTAGCTGCGATGTGTAAACTGTGGCTACCAAAGATCAAATCAGATCAGATCACCATGGCCACCCCAACCCCTTTCCAAGGATGACAATGTCCAGTTGGTCATTTGACAAGCCAGGACAGGAGCAACCAACGGAGAATCAGACTGAAATTCTCCTCCGTCAGGTTTCGCTTCTCACACATCCGTCGTTGGAAAAACGTAATCAGCTGGAGAAGCAGCAAAAGCTGGACGATTTTCTGATAAGCCGGAGAGTGGACTGTGGAACCCAAGATGGGGAAGGGGCAGGGGATTGTCTGGGAGGCATTCATTTTTAGCAGAAAAGTGCGACTTGAGCGGCTAGTTGGCTTAGTGCTTGTCTATTTTCGGCAGGGTACGGAGCTGCTGGCTCTCGCGACCAACAGACCAACAAACCCACAAACCCGCAAACTCAAAACCTCTGCCAGGAAAACCGAATTCCATTTCCACGTAGAATTGCATTTGACAGTCAGAGGCTTCGGTTCGGCCAGTTGCTCTGCAATCTTCAATCTTCGATCACCGCACATAGAATTGGATTTGGCAAACGGTCGCTCTCTCCTCGGAAGAACCATTGATAAGCCTGGTTTCAAAGCAGACGGTTGTCCAAAATCCACATTCGCGAGCATTCGCATCGGTTCTGGCCAAAAATTATGTGCTAATATTTGATTGCAAGAGAAGATTCGTACAAGTTCTCTATAGCCAATTTACCAAAGATCACAATGCCCGACACGGAGATCATCGTTACCAATGCCGGGGAGCCCTCCACCAAGGCGAGTCTCATCGTGGTATCCAATCGGTTGCCATTTGTGCTCATCCGGAATGCGAAAACCGATGAGCTGGAACGCAGGGCCAGGTGAGTTGGATAATAATAATAATATCAAACAGTGCTGTTTAAAAAGTGTATGCTAAAAAATATAAAAGAGTGTTTATGGCTTACGTAATCAAATTATAAAGTACAAATTAAAACGATTGTTTTAGAACGAACTAAACAGATCCATTATATAATCAAACTTCTTTAAAAGTATTTCGAATAATCATTTTTAAATAGTTAGTTGAAGATCCTATATTTTTTATGATCTGATACAAACACAGAGGCACATTTCATTAATTAACCTAAGTGCACAGTTTAATCCGGAAATAGGGCTACGCTAATAGAAAAATAAGTAAAATTGAAACAAAGGAAAGTTTTGAACAGTCATGAGATCAAATAATACGAAATTTCCGATGGTTTCGTAAGCACGCTTATCAACTCTCTCTGGGATTGGGGACCCAAAGCTCGAACAGGGCCAATTTCCATGTTCTTCGCACTCCCGAAAATCCCCAAGTAACCCAGTTCGATCCTCAGGCCCACAATTTGCATTGAAGATAAGCCGCCCGACAGCCGCCACCCAGTCCCCCATCCCATTACCGATCCAACTATGTGACATACCTATATTTCGGTTCATCTTGATCTCCGCTAGGCTTTCAATCTTATCAGTGCAAAACATACAGAGGGGGAGGGATGTAGGGAGGCGAATCGAATCGAATCGAGTCGAGATGTGTTGGACCAACCGAAGTCTGGGCTTTGAGTTAGAAAACAAATTCAATAATAATGGCGGGCCTTATCAGCGAGGTTCGTTACGCGTTTTTGACCCTTTCGAGTGTCTGGCAAAAGGGTCAATACTGGAGGCGTTATAACGAGGCTGTGGTCGCCCAGTGGAGACTGAACCTGACACTGAAATGTGGAGTCACGTGAATGAAATTGCTTCGTGATGGAGCTACGCTTCCGACCTATGCCAGGAATGAGTTTCTTTTGGGCCTCCCATTCCGCTGCTCCAGATTGTCTCCGGACGGGACGAGATGGACCGGAGCTGAGCTGGGTCCAGAGCTTGTTTACAATCGCTGGCTTAATGGGCGACTTCTTATCAGGTTCCCGGGTGTCATGCACTCTGCACAAAATGGGCTGGGTCCTCACCAACACACACACTCGGCCATTCTGTCCGGGACACCTGATTACGTCTTTCAATCGTTGGAAAGGAACGGCACGTTTACATCACAGTGATTTTCTTTTCCATCAAATGGTGGTTCTAGTTATAAGGCCACATTTTTAGCAGCTTTATAATAATTTAGAAATTTTAAGTATTTCAATCAAAGTTCTCAAATGTACGATAAAAGTAAAGTTAAAGGGGAAGTTAGGTCAAAAATTGTATCTTTTAAATGGACTAAAAGCCTAAAGAAAACTACAGATATGATAACCTTTGTTAAAATCTTTTAAAAACAACTTAGAAATATTCACTAAAAACAAGTTATGAGAGATTTTAAGACACCACTCCACAATTATACCAAAGGTATACCCATTTATAAAAAATTGGTGATATGATGGCCTATGCTAAAAGCCTTTTCTTCTATGTTACAGCGCTGGAGGTCTGGTGACCGCAGTGTGTCCGGTGGTGATCAAGGGCAGCGGCCTCTGGGTGGGCTGGTCGGGTATCCATCTGAAGGATCCCAACGAGGCCATTCCCGAGTCCAATCCCAACGATCAGACCCCCACCGCTGGACTCAAGTCCGAGCAGGTGGTGTCCGTGAACATCGATTCCAAGATCTTCGACAGCTACTACAATGGATGCTGCAACAAGATCTTCTGGCCGCTATTCCACTCGATGCCGGGTCGAGCCAACTTTGGAGGAGAGCACTGGCACGATTATGTGACGGTGAACAAGCACTTTGCCGTGCGAACCATCGAGGCGTTGGAGAAGTGCCTGGCCAAGAATCAGGGTAGCGAGAAGAGCCCTCCGATTGTGTGGATCCACGACTACCATCTCATGTTGGCCGCCAATTGGGTGCGCGAGCATGCCGAGGAGAAGAACCTGCCCTGTCGGCTGGCCTTCTTCCTGCACATCCCCTTCCCGCCGTGGGACATCTTCCGCCTGCTGCCCTGGTCCGATGAGCTCCTGCAGGTGAGCATGGCTTCCTTCTGCGTGGGTCTCCAATAACTCCCTTTTCCTCTCGTTCTAAGGGCATGTTGGGCTGCGACCTGGTGGGCTTCCATATCCAGGACTACTGCCTGAACTTCGTAGACTGCTGCCAACGGAATCTCGGCTGCCGCGTCGACAGAAACAATCTCCTCGTGGAACATGGCGGTCGCACTGTGCGTGTTCGTCCACTCCCCATTGGCATTCCCTACGAGCGCTTCGTCAACCTGGCCACCACCGCACCCAAGGTGCTGAAGACTTCCAAAATGCAAATCATCCTGGGAGTGGATCGACTCGACTACACCAAGGGCCTCGTCCATCGCCTGATGGCCTTCGAGGCACTGCTGCTGAAGTATCCGCAGCATAAGGAGAAGGTGAGCCTGCTGCAGATCTCGGTGCCGTCGCGAACGGATGTCAAGGAGTACCGGGAGCTGAAGGAAGAGGTAGACCAACTGGTGGGCCGCATCAACGGTCGCTTTACCACCGCCAACTGGGCACCGATCCGCTACATCTACGACTACGTCAGCCAGGACGAGTTAGCAGCCTTGTACAGGGATGCGGCCGTTTGCCTGGTCACTCCGCTTCGGGATGGCATGAATCTGGTGGCCAAGGAGTTCGTGGCCTGCCAGATTAATGAGGTGCCCGGCGTGCTGGTTATCTCACCGTTCGCAGGAGCCGGCGAGATGATGCACGAGGCTCTGCTCTGCAATCCGTACGAGGTGAACGAGGCCGCCGAAGTAATCCACCGGGCGCTGACCATGCCCGAGGATGAGCGCGTGCTCCGGATGGCTCGTCTACGCCGGCGGGAGGCCGAGTGCGATGTGAGCCACTGGATGCGTTGCTTCCTGAAGGCGGTGGGCGCTCTGGAGATGGACGATGTGGGCACCACCATTATGCAGCCAGTGTCCGTGGACGACTTCGATGACTACTTACTGAAGTGAGTAGATAAATAGATTAAAAACAAAGGGCAATCCGTAAGTATTCTGTTTTTATATCCAACAGATACATCGGCTATAACCACAAGCTGGCTCTGCTGCTGGACTACGACGGTACTCTGGCTCCCATTGCCCCCCATCCAGATTTGGCCACGCTCTCGCCGGAGATCAAGAATGTGCTATACAAGCTGTCGAACCACTCGGACGTCTATGTGGCCGTCATCTCGGGTCGAAACGTGGACAATGTGAAGAAGATGGTTGGCATCGAGGGCATCACCTATGCGGGCAATCACGGTCTGGAAATCCTTCATCCGGATGGCAGCAAGTTCGTGCACCCCATGCCCATGGAGTACGAAAAGAAGGTCAGTGATCTGCTGAAGGCTCTGCAGGATTCTGTTTGCCGCGACGGCGCCTGGGTGGAGAACAAGGGGGCGCTCCTGACGTTCCACTATCGCGAGACGCCCAACCACCTGAGGGGAGCGATGGTGGACAAGGCGCGCTCCTTGATCGAGAAGTACGGCTTCAAGGCCACGGAGGCGCATTGCGCACTGGAGGCTCGTCCGCCGGTGCAGTGGAACAAGGGTCGTGCCTCGATCTACATCCTGCGCACATCCTTCGGCGTTGACTGGAACGAGCGCATCAAGATTATCTATGTGGGCGACGATCTTACAGACGAAGATGCCATGGTGGTATGTGATCTATAAAAGGAATCCTTTCAGCTGGCAGGGATTTCATTTTTGACTGAATTTCCTCAACAGGCTCTCAAGGGAATGGCGCGAACATTCCGTGTGACATCGTCGGACATCGTGAAGACCGCTGCGGATCACCGACTGCCATCCACAGACTCCGTGTACACGCTGCTGAAATGGGTGGAACGGCATTTCATGGGACGCAAGGCGCGCGCCAACTCGCTGACCTACAGGCCCACCAAGGGCGACGGTGTCCAGATGCAGATGTCCCTGGAGGTGGCCTCCTCGGCGAACAACTTGGAGGTGTGAGCCCCCATTTCTGTGCTTGCATTGGCAACCTCGTAACTCAGATAACTTGTAAGATTTTAAGAATAAAGAAAACGGAATCGTAGCTTAAAGAAATGTACAATTGATTTCGGATTTTTGTTTTTGGTTACGCTATGGAACGTGCACTGTTTTCTTTACAAACTAATCACTAAGCAAAGCGTCACGAATTGCACTAATTGTGGGACAGGACGAGCCACGAGATGATGAAGAAGAACAGAAAGATGGGGTAGACAGCCAGTGGTTTGCGATGAGGCGGCTGGCTCTGACCCAGGAAAACAAAGGAAGCTAAAGGGAATATACCCATTACAAAACTCTTCCAGCATTTGATTAATTTATAATCATACCGTAGGTGGCCCAGGCAAAGCCCATGGTGGTGGTCACAAAGCGCAGAAAGAAGAGCAGGCGCGTCTGGGCTGCTAGCAGAATTACTCGGCACACAATAAGCGAGATGGCCACTGGCGTGAGACAGTAGCCCAGCACGCAGACGGATTGGAAGAATGAGCTGGAGGAGATTGGGTACATTAAAATCAACATATTGTTCAAGTTCAGGGCCTATCTTACATATTGCCGCCCAGCAGCTTGGAGTTGAGTGTGACTATAGCCGCTCCTATCCAGACGATGACGAAGACCTGGGCGAACTCGGGTCCGTTGTCGGACATGCTGTCGGCGGAGGAGGAGCCCTGCAGAATGGTGGCCATGAAGGTGCAGAGCACCAGTGGCCCCCAAAGATCCCCTGAAAAAGTAAGTAAACACATTAGAAAACTGCCCACGAAAGCATAAGCACAAATGATGACGCACAATCGCGGAGTAGACTGGACTTTTCCTTGGGATACAGGACATGGTAGAACTTGATGCCAACGGCCCGGATGTCCCGCAGCACTGTCTCCCGAATGGGCTCGTCCAGGGTGTTGTAATCCGGCACTCCACTCGCAGACGTAGCAGTTGTGGTTCTCTTGCCAGGAATCGACATGTCGCCCTCCAAGGAAGGCGACGTGTTCACGTCCTCAAACATCTAGGATGGCGTGAAATATATTAATGAAAATTTCTTTTTCTGTATTTGTACTTACATCTAGTTTGGAATCCATTGGCTGCTTTATGTGTTATCTGTTAAATATAATAAACGTTTACATCGACAAAAAAAATACGCCAGCTAATAGTGTGACCTTAAGTTGCGGCCCACTTATTACCCCGCCATCTATATCGGTTATCGATAACAACCTAAGCCGCCAGAAATGCAATTGACGTTCACTTTCATTTTGACGGTGGTCTGGGATTGTAAAAACCTTGCAAAGTTCGTATTTAGAAGATAAGCAATTATTAGTCAAACAAATATTAAATAGACAAGAACAATAAAAAGTAATACTAATTTCTGCTTTCTAGGGTTACTGTGCATATTTTCCAAATACATAGTCCACGTTAACTGGAAATCAAATCAAGGGATTCCCAGAAAATCAAATTCGTCAAAAAGATTACTACTGATAAACTACCTAAGCGCCATGGATTCTGATTTGATTCACAAGGATTCTTTCGATCCTGAGGACGCCTACGCTGCGGAACAAGTTGAGTGGTTGCTACAGTGGAACAATCATTTGTGCATGGAAAGCGACGTGGCTGCTACGGCTTTGAAAATGCAGCTGATTTCTGTCAATTCCCTGAAGGAAAAACTTAAACTGAAGCTGGATCAACTAGGTGAGATGCTAGGGGATGCTTGTTCCAGCCTGGAGCACCGAAGTACTAACAAGTTAGACGACGAGTTTCAAACCCTGAAAGCCAAACTGGAGGAAACTCAGAATAAAATACATTTGTTGATAGATCGGGACCTGGAACTCAGGAGGACCGTTGAACAGTTGACTCACGACCTTCAGTTCGTTACATTGCAAAAGGATCAACTCGCGATTGAACGTGATGGGATGGTACTGAAATTGGAGGAGCAGGAGTCCAGTTACAAAGGTATGGTGGCTAAACAGGATCAGCAGATCCGTTCTATGCAGGTCATCATATCGGAGTCGCAGCATGAAATTTGCCAAAAGGAGGCATTGCGACGCCAATTGCTCGTGGATCTCGAAGGGCAGGAGCAAGTGCATCTTCAACAAATGGAGGCACAGAGGCAGAGTCTGGTGGAGAACAACGAGGACAGCATCACATGCTCCATATGTTGGGTGACCTGGGACGCGGATGGAGACCATCGGGTCGTCTCTCTAGCATGTGGCCATCTATTCGGCAACTCGTGCATTCGAAATTATCTAATGCGAAGTGAGAGCTGCCCGATTTGCCGACAGGCAGCGAATGTCCAACATATTCGCTTTATCTTCGGTCGTCACGTTTTACCAAACCAAACACAGTAATTTGGATCTGCTTGTGTATATACCATGGTATGTATGTACATATATCTAAGAATGGTTATCCAGCATTATATTATATTATTTTTTTTAGAATACCGAATTATCAGCGCACTAAATGAAGCTCATGAATTAAATATCTAAGACAGTTTCCTTGTTTACATTTCGTATTCTTCGGAAACTTTTATTACTTAAAAAATGCAAGGCAAGCATTATTTTTGATTTCATACAAACATATACACAATATTCATTGAACATACAAAGCTGGGATAACGTGAGCAACGAGAATGTTTGGATTTTAAGTTGGTGTTATTTTGAATTCCATTGAATTTAAACTGTAGTTTTTAAGAATGTTTGTTTATGTTACAAATTGATTTTTGAAATCTGTAGCAGAGCGTTTAAAATGCAGTTTCAAAACGTTTGTTATCAACTTGTGATTCTAATGAAATAAAGACAAACTCCAAAAAAAACCAACAAGTTTTCTCTAAGTAATTTAAATTTTGTGTCATATTAAATGATTTTGAAAGTTTTCCGCAGCTAAATTAAGTTTAAAAGTCCGAAGTATAAAAACAGCTAGAGAAAAACGAGCTAGATGTGGCTTGAAAACCGCTGGAATGGCCATCCCTCAGTTGGAGTGACCGTATTCTCCGCCGATGGCTGTCCCGAACACTTGATCGGCGAACCCAAATCTAAACAGACACAAATTTTGGAAACTATGCTGTAGGCGGACGCGAATTCTTGAACTGCAGCCGCAGGAGCACGTCGAGGAAAATGGCAGCGAAGCGGGCGGATAGTCCGGAGAAGCGGACGAGTCCGGAGCACTCGCAGCGCGGTCTTACCACAAAGGTGGCGCTGCGGCGTCTGCATGAGGAGATTGAACGGGTGCTGCTGGAACACGAGCGGCTGTACGGCGCCGAGAGGTGAGTCAAAGCATATCCGGTGAAATGTACTGATAATAGGCAATCCCCCATATCCACAGCTCCTATCGAAAGTTGCGGGCGGCTTTTGTGAAGCGCTATGATAGCCCACTGGGCTGGCTCTCCATTGGTGCCAGTCTGCTGGCCAGTGGAGCACTCCTCATCACCGGAATGCTGTGGCCCGCCCTGTGCCTGCTGGCCATCTTATCGCTAGACCTCTTCGTAGTGGTCCGAGAGAACAACCTGCGTCGCACAGAGATTTTCCGGAAGACGCGACATGTGCTGGCGGAACTACAATTGGCGGAGCAGCATTTCTGCGACGACTGGCAGCAGGCCAACTATCCGCACTTAAGCAATCCAATGTCGCCCTGCGTATCCCTACAGTGGACCTATCGCGATGGGAAAATCGTAAACCTGCCCTGGGCCTTGTTGGTGCGTGGAGATCACATCGTCCTGCGACCGGGGCACATTTCTCCCGGTCCCTGTCACGAACTGGAAACGAACAAATTATTTTCGGCAAATGAAATCTATGGAGCAACCCCCCATGGGGATCCTCCCGTTAAGCCAGTCGCTCGCCCTCCACTGCCCGATCTCGTTTGCAGTTTGGAGAGCACACCCTACCTGGACAATCTTACCGTTTGCCTCAAAAACTCCCTGAAGCGACCGCCCACCATCTATAATCAGCAGCGATATCTGGTAAGAAGATCTTCGAAAGAAATTATAACCCGTTCTTATCTCTGTTTACGTCGGTTAGCTGGTCACCAAATACATACAACAGTGGGGCTTCATTAGTGCCCTGGTTATCACGCTCATCTCGGGTCTACTACGCCTCCACGGTTACGGCCTGCCCACCGACGAGAAGCACAACTGGCGCTTTGTGCTCATCGAATCCCCAGCGGCGGCCATTATTCCGCTATTGCCGCTGATCTTTCCGCTTATGTGGATATCCATGAATCTGTGGGGTATTGCGCGGTTGCAGTGCTTCCTTAAAACGCCACAGGCCGCCCTGGAGAGGAGTACAAGCAAATCGTTTGAGGAGGATCTGGACACGCCATCGTACGACTATCAGAATGTGTCGATGCTTCGTTCTAATGTGTTCCGCATCTGGATGCAGCTATGGCGGGGAGACAGTGAACTCCTGCCTCGCTCAGCGAATCTTGTACAGGTTCTGGGCTCCATTTCGGCGCTCTGCTGTGTGGACAAGAAGGGCATTCTATCGTGGCCCAATCCCACAGCCGAAAAGGTATTTTTTCTGCACAACACCGACGAGGAATCACGCGAGGATGGCGCAGGCAGTCAGTCGTCGTCAACGAGTGAAAGTGACGATGTACCGGATGTGGATGAGGATCACAAGGAGCGTGGGATAGTGGCTGAAGTCTTGGACCTTACGCACGACCAACACTGCCCCTTCCGACTGGAATTTGACGACCACGAATGGAAGGCGCACATCAAGTCCTTGAAGCCACTGGGTGAAACCTGAGACTCAAATTAAGTTTAATGAACTTCCTAACGTAATCCAATTAATCTAGGTCTCGCCATTCTGCTGAACACCTGTTCACCGCTCACCCACGAGCACTACGCACAGTTCTGCGGCCATGTAACCGCCGTGGCCATGCTCGACAAAGATCTGGTGCCTGTGACTAATCGGTATGCGTATGCACTCATTGAGTCGAGTAAAAGCTTTTTGCATGGGTACGTAGTTCATTGCCATACTCATCGTTAGTTTCTGTCTAACCAAATCATATATATATATATATATGGGTCGATTGCTTCGACCACAAAACAACTACTTATATAGTCTAATGATTTTCTCCAAAATGGTATTGCATACCATTGCATCCAAAGCCAGCCCGATCAAATTAGTCTTTGCTTTGGGTATTTTTGATTTTTGAATCCCATTGGACGATTTCCCCCACAAAACAAACACAAGCGATTGGTAATGATTTAAAAAATTGAAAGCGTAAGAAAAAAGTATTTTTGATTTCCAGTAACTCGCTATTCCGTAATCGTTTTGCTCTATAATTTCCCATATTCCATTCGAGCCTTTGAACTAACTGCAATGTCGACACATAAACCTTGTACTTATTATTCTACCTCTATTAATTTGTTTGTACTCGTAAATCGATCTCCTTCGCCTCCTCGCCCATCCCCATTGGCCTGCTATTTTAAGTAACAAACATTCAAGAACGCTTAAATATAGTCGCCCCATTCCCGCCACCGCCCCATCCGCCAACCTCTGCCCGCCACGCTTGCCTGCATGCTCACGCACCGTCGTCGCATCCAGCGTTAGTGGGAACCAGTTCTAATCGGTTGTTCTCTATAAACAGACGCTGCCTCTGCGAGCTGGCCAAGCAGATTGGATTCACCGACCATGCCACGGATCGGTTCGCGCTGGAGGGTCAACTGGCCAGCTACCGGCATTTGGTGAGTCTCGGGAACTTGGTATTTATGTGAATCGTGCTGTTTTTAATGGTTTTATATGCGAAACTTAATTCCGGAATTTCCCATTAGCTAGGGATTAAAAATAGAAGACTATAAAAATATAGTTTTTGATCCATTCCGGAATTTTGTATTCTATTATAAAAATTAACACTACAAACAAATCATCAGCATTTAATGGCAACTATTAAAATTTGGCTCTACCTTACAGCAACCTGATGTGGTGCGAAGGGACATTCGTTTCGCCCGGCAGCTGCAGCTGTCCACCAAGGTGAAGGTTCCGTTTCCGCACTCATTGTCCGTGGTTATGCGCGAGAACCCGGGTGGCTATTTGTCTCTCTTCACACAGGGAACGGCCGATATCATCCTGGACTGCTGCGACGACTTTTGGGATGGCATCGATCTGCGTCCACTGTCCCCTCAGGATCGCAAGCGGGCGTTGGACTTTTACCAGCGCAGTGCTCTGACCTCTTACTGCACGGCCTTCGC